ATTTATAGTGAATGATAGTCTCTAAAGGGGCTAAAAAGTCAGAGACATTTGGCATGGTTCTGAATAGATAAGTAAATTTATTAAGGAGCCCATGTGTAAGCACAGAGTAAGCAGCATGAGGCTGGGTCTGAGCAATGGAAGATAAACTCTCAAGTTGAATAACCCATTCACTGACTGTAGTACGAATACAATCATGAACAAACTTGTGAGATCTGATAGGGCTACCAAGGTATTTGTATCCATTAGTTGTTAAATTAATAGAAGTGTCACCAAAAATTAATCTAGCTCTGCCCAAGACACTGGGTTTGACAAGTAGCCAGGACTTAGATGGGTTAACATTGTAGCCAAAATCTGAGCCAGCAGACACAAGCTCTATCCACCACTTATGTAGCTCATTCAATTGTACATACCTTATGTACTAATATACCTTAATTACTAATGTACATACCTTATGTACTAATATACCTTATATTAATGTACATACGTTATGTACTAATATATCTTATACTAATGTACATACCTTATGTACTAATATACCTTAATTACTAATGTACATACCTTATGTACTAATATACCTTATACTAATGTACATACCTTATGTACTAATATATCTTATACTAATGTACATACCTTATGTACTAATATACCTTAATTACTAATGTACATACCTTATGTACTAATATACCTTATACTAATGTACATACCTTATACTAATGTATTTACATGTACTACTGGTATGTGTGTATTAGTTACTATAAGGTGGTACATCAGATTACATAAGGATAACTTCACCTTATTACATGAAAAGCTAAAAGGATGTACTCAATTTACCCATTACCCCTCTTTCTTTCCTTTTTATGATACAAGTAAACGTTATAACACCCCCGCTAGGGATACAAATGTAATGTATCCCGCAGCGGGGGTGTTATCAACATATTTGTGTAGTAATGAGTGGGTGTATCAAAGGCGCGCCAATGTGCATGCTCAGTAGCACCACACCTCGTGGTAAAATGGTTGCAATGGAGGACAGGAGGCTCACAAAAAGGTACTTTTACCAACTGATTCAGGCTTTAAGGTTGACATAATCTTACTATTTTCAGGCTATAATGTCTGGAAGAGGTCCAGAACAGAGATCCTGCACTTGCTGACCGGCCATGTATCGATCTTACCTTCCCCGGCCATCTATATATATTTATTATTGACGCTTAGTCAACCATTGATTTCACGCGGAAGAAAAGCAGGGAAACTCTACTTGCATGGATTATTGGTCTGTGAATCGATCTAAAGTTTTCTGCACTCTGGAGACTCACAATTGTTCCGACTTTGTACCCGCTGTCCGTTCCCGTGGGCCAATGGACCTAGGCCAGACTTTATTGCAAGTTTTTTTGACAGTTGACTTTCAGCTTATAATACCTGTACAATAATGTTGTTTCTTATATTTTATTTTAAGAGATTTTTGCTGTCAACCCACAGTGATACAAATAAAACCACAGGGAGTGTTACAAATGAAAGCTGTGTTACATCACATTTGTAACCACAGGTGGTGCCTTTGATATGCCCACTCACTATTATACAATACATTTTGTACCATAGGAAGCCATAAGATGAAAGTGCGGGGCAGTGGTGTATATATGATACACCAGGGAAAGAGGGGATCCCATGAACTTTGACCTTTCGCTCAGGACAGTACTGTCCTGAAAGGTCCACGGGTAAAAAATCAGGAAGAGTCCCCCGAAAGAGTCTCTCCCTTCAAACCTTAAAATCAAGCTGAGGTTATAACCCAGACTTTTGTATCAGGCTATTGTGGGTCTCAAATTGGAGAAAGTATGATGTAAACTTCCTGCTAAAGCAATGAATATCATTAAGAATTGCCCTTGTGTAAACTGACAAGCTGACCACGTGCAAGGCTATTAAAATGGCGTCACTGCTTGAAAAAATATTTTAATGATTTTTGCTACTACTGGACGATTTCTAGCAATCTTATGGCGACAGGTAAGCCTAAATATTCATCATTATGCCTTCCTATGAGTACAAAAAATATGGAACATGGCTTCTTCGTGGTTTATCAGATATACACCTCAAATGATATTCATAATCCCGAGGGCGTAGCCCGAGGGATTATGAATATCACTTTCGGTGTATATCTGATAAACCACTCGAAGCCATGTTCCATCTATTACATGT